CTGTCAACCGTCCTGGCAGAAAAGGTCATTTCTTGCAAAAAAATAGATGGCTTAACAGTACAAGGCCTCAATGAAGCCAGTGGCATTAACCTGCCAGGAGCTTACTCGCATTCCAGCCAAGAGAGGCCAAATCCCGAGACCAGAAACAGCACGAAATTGGCCCCACCTCTTACCCATTGCAAATCATCTAATGCCTTATAGAGAAGATGTTGAAGTTGGACTGCTCATAGGAGCCAACTGTGCACGTGCCATCAAACCGACAGAGGTGATACCTGGAAGGCAAGATGATCCCTACGCAAAGAAGACTGCACTAGGATGGGGTGTCATCGGTGTCGTTAATCCAACCAAGATTGAAGAAGATGACAACCACTGTTCTTGTCACCGCATCGCGTCCCTAGAAGTTCGTCCCAGCAATGGAAAAAGAATGTGTCATTTCGCTCTCAAGACTCAGGCAAAGGAAGTATTCACACCTGCGCAATTGATCAAAACATTGGAGCGTAATTTCAATGAAACGTCAAGAGAAGAACAACCTGTATCGTTCCTGGATAGAAAATTCCTTAACGTCTTGGAGTCTAACATCCGACACCGAGACGATGGCCACTACGAAGTTCCCTTGCCACTGAAAGAAGAAGGGTTAAAGTTACCCAACAATCTCACACTGGCGTTAAGTCGCCTTGGAAGGCTCAAAAAAAGGCTGAAGAGAGACAGAAAGTATCGAGAACACTACGAAGCCTTCATGAAGGAGATGATTGATAAGGGACAGGCTGAGAGAGTTCCCGACGAGGAACTACACCTCTCTAACGGTCGCGTTTGGTACATACCGCATCACGGTGTCTACCACCCCCAGAAACCAGACAAGATCCGAGTCGTCTTCGACGCCAGTGCAGAGTACAAGGGAGAGTCGCTTAACAGACACCTTTTACAGGGTCCTGATCTGACCAACAGTCTTAACGGAGTCCTCTGCCGCTTTCGTAAAGAACCCATCGCTTTCACCTGTGACGTAGAAGGAATGTTTCATCAAGTGTACGTCAATCCCGACTATCGAAATCTCCTCAGATTTCTCTGGTGGAATGATGGAAATATAGACAGCAAACCGACCGAGTTCAGAATGACAGTTCATCTGTTTGGCGCTACGTCATCCCCAGGGTGTGCGAATTTCACACTGAAAAGAACTGCAGACGACTTTGAGGAGTTGTTTGGAAGCGAGCCAGCCAAATTTGTCAAAGATGATTTCTACGTGGATGACGGACTGAAATCAGTTTCAACAGCCATTCAAGCCTCAGCCCTTATAAGGAATACAAAGAGTTTGCTTGCCAAAGGAGGCTTCAACCTCCACAAGTTCATATCTAACAGCAAGGAAGTGATTGAAACCATTCCCAAAGAGCAACGAGCAAGCGGTATCAAGGAGCTAGATTTCAGCAGGGATATTCTCCCTATTGAAGGAGCCTTAGGAGTGCAGTGGTGTGTGCAGTCAGATGCCCTCCAATTCCGCGTGGTACTCAAGGACAAACCATTGACTAGAAGAGGGATTCTTGCCTCCATCAGTTCGATCTACGACCCTCTGGGCCTGGCAGCTCCCTTTCTGCTTAAAGGAAAACAGATCCTTCAAGATCTTTGTAAGACTCAAGCTGCTTGGGACGAGACGGTGCCTGATGACATTCGAGCAAAATGGGAAAAATGGAGAGGAGAGTTGCACGAATTAGCTGAGTTAAAGATCCGTCGTTGCTACAAACCAGACAACTTTGGTGAAGTCAAGTTAGTCGAGTTACACAGTTTCTCGGATGCGAGCATAAATGGCTATGGACAGTGTTCATATCTAAGGATGGTCAACAATCGGGATGAAGTGCATTGTTCGTTGGTAATGGCAAAATCGACAGTTACCCGTTAAAGCCAGTCACCGTGCCCCGACTGGAGCTCACCGCTGCCGTGGTGTCCACGAAAATCAGCTCCTTCCTACTGAAAGAACTAAGCTATGAAGACATCCACGAGTTCTTCTGGACCGACAGTAAAGTTATCCTCGGCTACATTTCAAATGAAGCAAGGCGCTTTCATACATTTGTCGCTAACCTAGTGCAAGCAATTCGAGATCATGCATCCCCTGATCAGTGGCACTACGTTGATACCAAAGAGAACCCAGCCGACGACGCCTCACGAGGTCTTGGAGCTAAAGAACTGATAACAAGCAACAAATGGTGGAACGGACCGAACTTCCTGTGGAGACCACTGCCAGATAAGCCCCACTTTGATCCTCAAGTATCTCCAGATGACCCCGAGGTTAGGAAGGTTACAGTACTGGCAACTAAATCCATTGAACACCCAACCCTATTGGACCGCATTGAGTACTTCTCAGACTGGTACCGCGCGAAAAGAGCAATTGCTGTCTGCCTGTTGTTCATACACAGAATGAAACTTCACGTAAAGAAAGATCGAGACAACTCCGTCAGTGACAAAGGCAACCCACTGCACGAAGACAACAAACGAAAACGGCAAGATCAGTCCTCCAAGTTTGTTACGCCAAGGGTAAAGGATCTCCAGAGAGCCGAGCTGTTGCTGATCAAAGCTATACAGTACAAGGAGTTCCCAAGAGAAATCGAAGCCTTAGCGAACAAGTCACACAAAGGTGAAATAAACGCTAAGTCAGTAAAGAGGACAAGCCCTGTACATCGCCTCAAACCAGTCCTAGATGACAACGGTGTTCTAAGAGTTGGAGGACGACTTCCTCAAGCCGACCTATCATATGCTGTAAAGCATCCTGTCTTGCTTCCGAAGAAGGTGCACCTTACAAACCTGATAATCTGACACTTCCATCAACGTTCGGGACATCAAGGAAGACCAAGAACGCATGCCGAAATCCGCTCATCTGGCTTCTGGATCGTAAACGGCACTTCATTGGTTGGTCAACACATATCTAAATGTGTTACTTGTCGGAAGCTGAGAGCAGCGCCCCAGCAGCAGATGATGGCTGAACTTCCCACAGACAGACTCGAACAAGTCCCTCCATTCACCTTCAGCGCCGTCGATTATTTTGGTCCATTTTATATAAGAGAAGGGCATAAAGAGATGAAACGATACGGAGTGTTGTTCACCTGCATGGCCTCACGTGCCATCCATCTGGAGATAGCAACTTTGTTAACAACTGATTCATTCTTGAACGCCTACCGTCTCTTCGTTTGTCGTCGCGGACCCATTCAGCAACTAAGATCAGACCAGGGTACCAATTTCGTAGGCGCAAAGAATGAAATGCAAGCAGCCCTCAATGAGATGAATCATGAGAAGATCCAAAGAGAGCTATTAAAGGATAATTGCGATTGGTTCGCATGGAAGATGAATGTTCCACACGCTAGTCATATGGGTGGCGTGTGGGAAAGACAAATTAGGACAGTACGAAGCGTATTAACTGGACTACTGCAAAGCCATGGAAGTCAATTGGACGACGAATCCCTGAGGACCCTCATGATTGAAGCAGAGGCTATTGTCAACAGCCGTCCCCTTACCACAGATGATCTGTCAGATCCAGATTCACTTGATGTCCTAACACCAAATCATCTTCTAACGATGAAGAGCTCAGTTATCCTTGCACCGCCCGGAAATTTCCAAGGAGCCGATGTGTACTCAAGGAAACGTTGGCGTCGGGTACAACAACTTGCTAACGAATTCTGGCAGCGTTGGAGAAAGAGCTATCTGCAAACTCTTCAGACCAGACAGAAATGGACCACACCTCAGAAGAACCTCGAAGAAGGAGATATCGTGATCCTAAAAGATGAAAGTGTTCCCAGAAATTCCTGGAAGCTTGCCCGTGTAGAGGTTACTTACCCGGATGCAGACGGTTACGTACGAAAGGTAAAGGTGGCAGCAGCAGATCAATCCCAAAGGTCCAGGGTATCCCATTTTGAAAGACCAATCCACGGGTTGATTCTACTTATGTCACGCAAGGAGCAGAAGGACCGGGGATTCCCAGCCGAGGAGCCAGCCGAGGAGCCATGAAATCAGATGAGAATTGCTGATGAGCAGTGTCGTGTCGTTAGAGACAATGATTGAACATTGACTTTGGAACATTTTACCTGATTACTGATTGTTTTGTTGTTGTTCTTTTTATTGTTGATTAAGTAAATTGTCTCAATTTAGGGGAGCCATGTAACTGATTAACACGTAATAGGTAACCTGCATGATTGCGTAACTTCCGTTGTCAAGCTAAGCAATAAAAGGTACAAGAAAGATAGACACGTGCGATAGGATATAGACGTCATTATTCATCAAAGATCGAAGAAAGGAGTTTAGATTGGAGAAAGAGGTACGATTTGTAGTTTTATTTGTATGCTCGATTTAGTTAGTTTGATATCATTCCCTGTATTGTTCACAATTCGTAATATTTCCGTAATTTTCAAGTATCGTGATACGCCCCCTGTTTTGTGTTGTTATTGCAATCGATGTTCTGTGCGAGTTATAGTAATAGGCGCTTCCCCGTAATTATATTTTCAGTTTTTACATGAATCAAGCAAGTAATAAAGAGTTGATAGATAGAAAGGACTCGCTTGGTTGATAGTAAAGCTCCATCCAACATAATGAAATCGCGTCCGGAGCATTTGGAATGTTTTATAGAAGACCTCCGTCCGCTACAGTAAAAACTCTTTAGAAACGAATATCGGCGACTGAAATTGTATTCTGTTGCACCTCATCGAGAGAAAATGAGTTCAGAAGACGATTTTGGCAGTGTAAGCGCAGCTTCTAAACGAAATCGAAAACAGACGGCAAAAGGCAAACAGTTCCAGACACAACTACTAGAAGATCAAAGGTCGTCCGCGCAAAGGAGTTGGCGAAAACAATTGAATAGAATAGAAAACTGCCTTGTCGACCTAACAGAACCAGATAGGTTACAGAGCGAACGAATATTTTTGGAATCCAAGATGGAATTATTGATTTCTGCACACGAACGACTCGTTGAAGCACTGGAGGACGTAGAAACGAAACGCATTGCGCAACAGAAATTTGAGAAGTTAGAACAAGAACATTCTGATGCGCTGAAACGATTAAATCAAAAAATTACCGAGCTAAAAGAAGATGGAGAAAGCTTGATTTCTTCGGTAACGGCCTCATCAAGTCGAAGTAGTAAAGTTTCACATGGCGGGAAATCACGTTCAAGTAGAGCATCCCGTACATCAGCCATAATCGATAGAAAGGCGGACACAGTAGTAAAGGTCACTAAATTAAAAACCGAGTTACATTTCGCTGAAGACGAAGCGGCAAAAATTGCGGAACTGAAGAAATTCAGACTAACCAAGGAACTGGCCATAGCCGAAGCCGAGATGAAGGCCATTGATCAGGTAGAAGAAAACAAGTC